GCTCCCCCAACTGCATCGGAGGGCAATTCACCTGGGGCTCCGAAGAACCCATAGTCTATGCTGATGACCGGAATTTCTTCTGGATCATCGGATCTCACGACCCGACGATGGGCATAGCTCTTTCCACGTCCTCGTACGCAGTGCGAACACCATGCCCTGAACGGAATATGACTAACTGCATGAGCTTCGATTTCTTCCGGGCTTGGAAGGCAGGGTGCTCTAATTGGCTTCGCCTTCCTGCCTTCTTCTGGTTCAACCAGTGGTTGTCCATCCTCTAAATCTCCGAAAATCCAATCTTCGAAGAAATCATCATCAACTTCGGCCTCACCATCCAAAGGGGCCGTATGTCCAATAGGTTCCTGGGGGCTCGAGCCGACACGGCTCTGCACCCCCGAAGCGGGATCGGAGCTGAAGCAGCTCTCGGTCCTCTGCTTAGAATTTGGTCTTACAGGCAACTGTGGCCCTGCCCGCTGAAAGGGCTGGACCTCTTTGACACCTTTGCAGAGTCTATCCATACTGGTAGAACATAGACGCCATTTCGCTGAAAGATCCGGTGAAAGATCCGGTGAATACCTCCACTCTTGGTCTCGAGGTAACTGACCTTTGGGGATAGGACAACTTTGTTTCCTTGGTTGACCATCTGACCAACTGAGATGAGAGGCTGTGAGATGTTGGAAACAGCCATTCTCATTGCGACCTCCTCGTTGCCCATAAGCCACGCCTTGGCTACCAATGTGCCCTCATTCGGCACAAGGCTCCCATTGGCCAACCTGAAACTGTGATACCCCACGGACTCACCAAGCTTCACCTTGCCCACCAATTCCTTGGGAATGGTGCTTGCACTTGCACCGGAGTCGATGACGAAGTCGATCCGTGTCCAACCAGGGTATTTCTCTGAAGAGTTGTCACCGTGACCAGAAAAGGAAGTCAAGTGGCCAATGCCTCCAGGTCCGCCGGTCTTCTTCTCCTTTAGTCGTTGCTCTCTGCGTCTTTCTCTCTTGTGCTTAGCCTTCTTCTGCTGTGAGGTCTTCTTCCTTGCCGACGGCGGAAGTTGCTTTGTTCGTGCCGTAGGCGGTGGCAACTCAAGGAAAGCCGTTTCCTCCTCCTCAAGCAACGCTGTCCTTGCCTTCTTGGACAATGGTGCTGCTTGGACTTCATTTGCCAAGACTCCTTCAGCTAAGGGGAAAACTTGCACCTTTCGACCAGTGCCAGGCCGATTGAAGCGTCGATGCCACTCTTCTTCTCTTTCAAGCCTTTCCTCAGTCCTTTCAGCCTGACCGGCCAACCTATGACTGGCTGCACGTTTCCTCGACCTTTCCTTGACGTAGGCTAAACGACGTCCCAAGGCTTCATTGTCTCGCTCCTGTCTTGCAGAATGGCCTTCTCGATTCTTTCTTCGAAAGGCTCTCTGCTCGCCTTTGAGACCTTCAATCTCAAGTTCCAGATCTGCAACGTTGTTCAAGACGGCCTCATCACGTGCTCCTTTGTCATCCAAGGATTGACGGAGTACCTCTAGTTCATCAATCCTCTTCGATATCAGCTCTCCTAGGACAATAGACCTTGAAGCGTTGTTCACTTGGTACGGCGCTGCCTTGGAGGATGAAGAGCCACCGGCACGACTCTCACCCTGGGTCTTCGCTTGCCTCTTGTGTGGCGGGACGTATTTTGCACCTAAAGCACCCGTCGCTTCAGAGATCTGTTCCGATCTCCTCTTGTGGGGTGGAAGGTACTTCCCAACTTGCTCCGGCTCCTTAGCAGGAACCATGTTCTCCTCCACTGCCACTGGTGCTAGCTCTGTTCGGCCACATCGTCTAGGAATCGGAGATCTAAGGCGATTTGGGGTCTTAGGAACACGTGGCGAAGCAGGTACTGAAGCAGTACTCTCCTTCCCAAGGTCCTCAACGACGTCAACCTCGTAGACAGACTGCACGCTCGTCACTGTCTCCGCTTCAGACTCTCCTTCTTGTGCCTCGTCAACCATCTCTTCCTCCTTGCTTGGCTCGGATCCCGCGTCCGAGTGAGCTTGCACCTCTGACGATACTTCGTCCTCCGATCTTTCTCCTGCTTCGTGCCTTCCTGCTGTTGCTTCTTCAGCTTCTGCTTCTTCTGAACCTTGCTCGGACTCAGGGGTCTGATCGTGTTTCGAGTAGTCAGGTTCCCTTGGAAGGTAAATCCAAGTAGGCTTCTCATCGTCACAGTGGCCCGGCTTGCGCAGTGCAATTTCTTCTTCAGGAAATTTAGGCCTTATATAGTAGCCACGTTTGGTTTCAGCTTCCCAAGCTGCCCACTGTTGGTCATACGGGTGGCCCGGACAGTGCAGTTTACTACCCAAGTGACGTTCCAGATCCTTCACAGTCTTAAAAGTCTTTTGACGTCCTCCACAACCAGGCACTGGGCAACGATAACCAGGGCCAGCACCATACCGATCCTTCCTACACTCTGCCATGGCCACATCCTTGGGTCTGGACCAGAACCATGACAAGACTCCAAACTCAGGACGAACAATGGTCCTTGGAGTTTCTCGGTCTATAGGCGTGGGAGTCCGAGCTGAAGCAGCTCTGGGCTCCCGACGGGCCCGTGCTGAAACAGCACTGGATCCACCAACCACGCAGACAAGACCCAAGTCGCTCTCAGTCTCTGAGTCTGTCCTCCCTGGCCATTCCTGCGCACAAGCCTCTTCATCTTTCTTGTCTACAAGTCTCTGAGCACCGCATTCTCCACCATGGGAAGGTTTGCCAACTTCCTTTGAGCCTTCTTTGCAGAGCTGATTGGCTGATGGTAATCCACCGTCCTGTTGGGAGCAGTCATTTGCCTCTACACGATCTTCCGAGATCACTTCTTGGGATACCTCCGCTTCTTCCTGCCATCGTCTTGCAATGTTTCCCAGGTCTGCTTGGAATCTTCTGGCCTGATCTTGTAGGCCACGCTCCAGCGACTCAAACTTCTGTCGTGCACTGTGTGCCACTCGAGCCATTCCAGCTTGCATTGCATGCCACGCTTGCCCAAGGGGAAGTTCTAAGGCTGTAGTACCTGGTCCAAGTCTTGCTGTCCCTTTTCCTCCTGTTGGCGACTCCATCACCAAGTCCTGTGCCAAACTCGCTTGGCCAGGGCACGAACTGAACCAGCTCTGTGCCTTTGGAGCATGGGACTCATTTCGCTTGCCAGGCGCTTCCAGCTCCCAAACCAGGAGCTCCGCTACCATGCAACGGAAATTTGGGCTCGCTAGTTCGATGCAGCCCAGCGCACCTTTTCTTCTCAGGGCTCTGCTTCAAAGGTAAACCAAAAGGGCTGCGGTACATGAACATGAATCATGCTACCTAAGAGGAACAGATCCTAGGTACACCCTATACACCAACAAAAAAACTTGAGACATATTTTGGATATCAATATATCGAACGTGAAGAAAAAACACACAGGGGGCAGCGTTGGTCAAGAAATTTGACTATTCCGACTATTCCCCGTGACATCCCAAGACTATCCGGATCCTCCAACGAGGCCAGACAATGCAACGATGGACACCACCACAACCACAGAGGATCCTCTCATACCTTTCGAGAGAGATGCCCACAACATCCCACAGCTTGATGCATTTCAGTATCGTCACGGTATTGTGGTATATACTGGTATACCAAGAGTTTCGGAATATACAAATGTTTTCATGATGTCTTCAAACGTCTGCAAGTCTGTAGTCCAAGCTGCTGATGTGGCTAACAACGAGCAAGGATCCAATGAAAAAGAGGTATCCCAGGGCAGCGATTGGCAAAGAGGTTCTTCCTTGGCACAGCGTTTCGAAAGGCAAGGATATTCTTTTCATACTCGGCAATAACCCATTGTCCAGGCCACTCAATGTGACCCTTTGTTTTTTTTTAGTGTTTAACCCCCTGGAGAAGGTCACTTAGATAAAATCACATCAAAGGGTCATTTAGCCATTTATCAAAGGGTCACTTAGACTATCAAAGAGGTCACTTAGGATCAAAAAGGTAACTTAGCAAAGAAGAAAAGAGGTCACTTGGCAAACCAGTATGTCATAAGTGGTATCTTTTCTTTTTGTTCTAAGTGACCTCTAAAAGAGGTCACAAAGAACGTCCCGGGTGTCATTGATGGAAAATGTGTGCTTCAGACAGCCCACCAAAGTCAAAATGTTATTTGACAGACATAAAACACAAGAAAACGAGACAAAGAAAATAAAGAAAACCTGCGAAAGCCGAGAGCAGTGTTCCACCCACTCGATGAATTATTCGTGGAGCAACCTGCACAGGTGGCTATCCCAGCACCAAGTTGGTTGTGACATATCACAGAGACAATTCTCGTGGCATGTATCAGGTCCTCCTAGAAAAACAAACAACTAAGTCAAACATCTTTGGGGATGTCATCGTTCTATGATCCCACCACCTCCCCAAATTGCCTGATTTCCAAAAAGCATGCCACCATAGAAGGTGGCCAATGCATAGAATCCTAGTTGGAGTGAAGGCCACAAGATCCATCCATCGAAATCCAATGAAAATGGTGCGCATGCAGTGCACATGCAATGTCCGTTGGCACTGTTACAGGCACCCCATGCCGATAGCCTCAGATTATACAGTAACAATAACATCCAAACCTGGCTGACCCAACCATACCCATCATACCCAACCCCTGAAAAATGATTTCAAATTTATTTGCAGCCGCAAACTCCAGCACCCTTTGGAGTTCAAGATAGGGCAAAAAGGGATAGGAAAATGCAAGAATCGTGGCACAACTTTGCATGATGCACAAATGACAGGACCATAGGTGTTCTCTTATTGAATGTAGTTCACGTGAAAAGATGTCTTGGTTTCTAGGGATAACCATGTGTACTCACTTTCGGACAGTTTGACGAAACCGTGTCTGTACAACATCGAATGAATCCCTCTGTTCTGCTGTGTCCACCTTTCAAATGTTCACTTGTGAAAATAACAAATTGCAAACGATTTTACACTCACATGCGGTTACCTCTGAGTGAAATCTTCGAAACAAGATTCCGAAATTTCCCAGCCCAACTTCTTTGATATTCAGCGGCGCCGCATTCTGGACCTCCTGGGATGTATGATGCAAAAATACTTCGAACCAATCTGTGACCTGTGAATCAATTTGGATCAATTTATTTTGCACCTCTGTAGTTACTGTAGTTGTGTTTGGGAACTGTTGAAAAAAATGTTGGAGTGTTGCAATCCCTTCCGAAATCAATTTATCTGACTTGTAAAAGCACATTTGGAAATTCGAAAATGCGCCCACCTGAAACGCTGTAAAGAGCAAGGTCATCCCAAAGCAAAGCCGGAGCGAACCCAATGCATTGGGAAATTGCCAGGACTCGATCTGACAGAACGCAAGGGTCAACAAGGTCAATACTCATGAGACACGCATGAGTCACCCATGAGCACACTGACATTGTAATTTGAACAAAGTTTCGTCACATCGTGTTCTCACGCCAATGCCACGTTTCTGGATCATCAAGTTTTGATGGCGGGGGAAAATTGTCCGAGTTCGACAAACTAATTAATACCAACTCAGCAAGGTTGGGATTTTCAAAATGATTTGGAAAACCAGGCCCGTGCTGCACAACGACATTCTCGACAGGGGTTCCCAAAACCCAAAGGAGAATGATTCCGCGATGAATTGACGTCCAAACCAGTTTTGTGTGGAAGCGGTGAGTTGTGATATGTCATCTGATGTGTCATTTGCACCACCCGGAAAATGATTTCATTTCGAAAACATATAAAATTGGTCATGAAACGCCTCTGAGAGTACAAACCATGGAACACAATCCAACGACCATGATCACAATGGTTGTTTCTGTCATGACATTATACTTGGGCGCAAATGGCCAGTGGTGGTTCAAAAAAAATTATCAAATGTTACACGCAGCACTCCACCTAACGTTCTGGAACAAATCACCTACCAAATTCAAAATAGGTGGGAAAACTCAATGTTTCTGCGCCGCAAATTGCACACTGCAACAATGCCAAAAAATCAAACAGATGCAATTCTTGCAGTCGCAAAAAAACCCTGCAAAAATGATCATCAGATGGTTTGGCACAGATGTTGCACATGTGAAAGCCAACCCCCAACGGCCTTAGCCATCTTTGGCTCGCCACAAAAATGCGAAGGTGGATACTGCAACAATTTGTGAATCCAAACTGTATGGTATTACACTGACCGTTTATGTTGTCATCTGCAACCTGCAGCCAGAAAATGGCAACAACGTGCAAGATTGATGGTTGGAAAAACATTCACATGACAAATGCAGAATCACGAGGCAAAAACTAAATGTGTGTTTCGGTCAGTTTTGATTGCACATCACATCATGCCTTAACTATCATGGCCAGGGGTTCCTCAATTTCATTTTCTTGATTAACATGTTGTCTTGTCAATTGACGCCGAAACAAACATTAAAGACACAAAATTCCGCATGTTTACAGAAACATCACGAACCCAAACTCCTGTTGCAAATGCACGTTTGGGTGCCCAACACATGAAGACAAAATCCGCCCGCACCGACGGTACGATTTTTTTCGCTGTCCATGCATGATCCGGAAGCACTTGTGATATTGTAAATGGAGCGGCTGCAATGCGGACCTTTTCCACTGTGAACCACGGGCCTAGTAACGCAATGTGATTTCACATGCAATGTCCCAGCTCTGTGTCCATGACTGCGGTCTCGTTTTGTGCGCTTCATCCTTGTGCAGTGGCCATGGCAAGTCTATGAGTGCTGTCTGAAATGTTTTCCACTCCTCCTTGGAATGGATGGAAGGAGGCTTTCAGTCAGTCCACGCCCAAAACATTGCACCGCCACTTCACAGAAATTTTCGCGCACCACTGCAGCTCATTTGTATGCCTTCACGGCTTTTCCGTGAAAACTCATCAAATCCAAATCACTCGATGAATGCCACTTCACGGCACTGATTTGCATACATTTGGAATCGGTCTGCGATGACCCTTTCATTGTTTTGTCTCTGCCTGTCTGCAATGTGCTCAAGTCGATCACCAAGTCTTTGAAATAGTTGGATCCGTGGGCCACGTTGGAGAGGGTGAGCTCCATTCAGCGAATCAAGGATCAGCACGATGCTTCACTGCACAAGCCCTGCATCAGCCCATGCTTCTCCGGCCAGGAACGCGTTCAGTTCGTTCCTCAAGGTCACATGAACCTGTCTAAGGTTTCCGATTGAATCTTCAACTGTAGGGCTGCAAGCGGTCTTTTGCTTTCTGCATCTTCTCCATCCATTGTTGTAGGATCACCCATACCAGTGTCCTCCCCAGTTGCGGATCCCTTATTTTGCTGAAGCACTGTTATCATAAACCTGTTGGATCCCATTGTCCTGGCAGCAAGGAGGTTCGCACGCTCCACAGTGAACATGTGCTGCCCTTGCGTTGGGTTGAGCTCGGAGTGGTTGGTGTATCCCAAAGCATGACTACACCATAGTGTAATCCATCCAGTTGGTCTGACAACATTTCGTCTTGTGCTTCAAATTCATTTTGACCTGCTCTCAGCCTGTTGATGGTTGCCTGCATGTTGTCCATGTCTCTTCGCACTGACTTGATCTCATTGTCCCACCTATCCAGTAAGCTCTCCATAGTTGCCACATCGCCATACAAGGGCTCAAAGCTTTGAAATGCATCACGTGCCATTTGGTACGTCTTCCAGAGAACTAGACGACGGTTGGCCCGAGAGCGAAAAAGATGTTTTTCAAGCAGCTCTGAGGATGGTAGTCGTAAAAGATAGCCGGTGAATGGTTGGTGAATTTTGTATGAGCTATGGAGGGATAAGGTGTGAAAAGTAAGATTGATTAAGAAGAAGATACTTGGTAAAGGGCATCAGATGACTTAGTCTTGCAACCACAGAGAGACATAGACATAGAGAGAGAGAGAGACGGAGAGAGAGAAAGAGGGAGAGGGTGAGAGAGAGAGAGAGAGAGAGATATAGATAGATAGATAGATAGATAGATAGATAGATAGATAGATAGATAGATAGATAGATAGATAGATAGATAGATAGATAGATAGATAGATATAGAGAGAAAAGGAAAGGGAGATAGAAAGAAAACATGGAGAAATATAATGTGAGCAACAAGAGTGCACAGGAGGCTCTGTACCATGAGTCTGCGAATGACATGTGTTATCTCATTTTACTATGGTAATTCCTACGCACATTGCCAAAAAAGCTCGGTACCATCATTCCTCAGATGTGAAGAAACGCGACGCTTTTACACACAGACGCTTTTACACACAGCAGCTTTTACACACAGACGCTTTTACACACAGACGCTTTTACACGCACAGAAACTTTCACACACAGACGCTTTTACACACGGACACTTTTACACACAGACGCTTTTGCACACAGAAGCTTTTACACACAGAGGCTTTTACACACAGACTCCTTTACACACAGACGCTTTTACACACAGACTCCTTTACACACAGACCATTTTACACACAGACACTTTTACACACAGACCATTTTACACACAGACACTTTTACACAGAGAAGCTTTTAAACACAGAAGCTTTTACACACAGAAGCTTTTACACACAGACGCTTTTGCACACAGACGCTTTTACACACAGACGCTTTTACACACAGACTCCGTTACACACAGACGCTGTTACACACAGACGCTTTTACACACAGACTCTTTTACACACAGACGCTTTTACACACAGACACTTTTACACACAGACCATTTTACACACAGACACTTTTACACACAGAAGCTTTTAAACACAAAAGTTCTTACACAGAGGCGTTTACACACAGACTCCTTTACACACAGACGCTTTTACACACAGACACTTTTACACACAGACTCCTTTACACACAGACGCTTTTACACACAGACGCTTTTACACACAGACGCTTTTACACACAGACCCTTTTACACACAGACCATTTTACACACAGACACTTTTACACAAAGAAGCTTTTAAACACAGAGGCTTTTACACACAGACGCTTTTACACACAGAGGCTTTTACACACAGACTCCTTTACACACAGACGCTTTTACACACAGACACTTTTACACACAGAAGCTTTTAAACACAAAAGTTCTTACACACAGAGGCGTTGAAACACAGACTCCTTTACACACAGAGGCTCTTACACACAGACTCCTTTACACACAGACGCTTTTACACACACTCCTTTACACACAGACGCTTTTACACACAGACACTTTTACACACAGACCATTTTACACACAGACACGTTTAAACACAGAAGCTTTTAAACACAGAAGCTTTTAACCCAGAAGCTTTTACACACAGAGGCGTTTACACACAGACTCCGTTACACAGAGACGCTTTTACACACAGAAGCTTTTACACACAGAGGCTTTTACACACAGACTCCTTTACACACAGGCGCTTTTACACACACACGCTTTTACATACAGACCCTTTTACACACAGACCCTTTTACACACAGAAGCTTTTACACACAGACCATTTTACAAACAGACACTTTTACACACAGAAGCTTTTAAACACAGAAGCTTTTACACACAGAGGCTTTTACACACAGACTCCTTTACACACAGACGCTTTTACACACAGAAGCTTTTACACAAAGAGGCTTTTAGAACACACAGACGCTGTTACACTCAGACGCTTTTACACACAGAACACTTTTACATTACACACAGACCATTTTACACACAGACACTTTTACACACAGAAGCTTTTAAACACAGAAGCTTTTACACACAGAAGCTTTTACACACAGAGGCTTTTACACACAGACTCCTTTACACACAGACGCTTTTACACACAGAAGCTTTTACACACAGAGGCTTTTACACACAGACTCCTTTACACACAGACGCTTTTACACACAGACGCTTTTACATACAGACCCTTTTACACACAGAGGCTTTTACACACAGACGCTTTTACACGGAGACGCTTTTACACACAGAAGCTTTTACACACAGAGGCTTTTACACACAGACTCCTTTACACACAGACGCTTTTTCACACAGACGCTTTTACACACAGAAGCTTTTACACACAGACCCTTTTACACACAGAAGCTTTTACACACAGAAGCTTTTACACACAAACGCTTTCACACACAGTAGCTTTTACACACAAACACTTTCACACAGAGACCTGACCCATGAAATCGCAATTCTACTTCAGTTTTTGACGTTCAACGTCCACTTCGTGCGAAAGGGTCGCGATGGGCCAAGTAAAATCGCAATTTTACTTCAGTTTTTGACGTTCAACGTCCATTTCGTGCTAAAGGGTCGCGATGGGCCAAGTAAAATCGCAATTTTTCCTCAGTTTTTGACGTCCAACGTCCACTTCGTGCGAAAGGGTTGCCCGTGACACCTCAAAATCGCAATTTTACTGCAGTTTTTGACGTCCAACGTCCATTTCGTGCGAAAGGGTTGCCATGGATACATCAAAATCGCAATTTTTCCTCAGTTTTTGACGTCCAACGTCCATTTCGTGCGAAAGGGTTGCGATGGATACATCAGAATCGCAATTTTACTACAGTTTTTGACGTCCAACGTCCACTTCGTGTGAAAGGGTTGCCCGCGACTAACTAAAATCGCAATTTTACCTCAATTTTTGACGTCCAACGTCCATTTCGTGCGAAAGGGTTGCCATGGATACATCAAAATCGCAATTTTACCTCAATTTTTGACGTCCAACGTCCATTTCGTGCGAAAGGGTTGCCATGGATACATCAAAATCGCAATTTTACTGCAGTTTTTGACGTCCAACGTCCATTTCGTGCGAAAGGGTTGCGTTTCGTGGCGCTCTGGCGGCACCGCCCCCGCCTTAAGAGAGAGATAGAAAGAAGAGCGAGAGGAGATCGGCAGATGTGAAGGTGTGAAGATGTAGATCTGCAGATGTGAGGGTGTGAAGATGTAGGTGTGAGGGTGTGAAGATGTAGATCTGCAGGTGTGAGGGTGTGGAAGATGTAGATCTGCAGATGTGAGGGTGTGAAGATGTAGATCAGCAGGTGTGAGGGTGTGAAGATGTAGATCAGCAGATGTGAGGGTGTGAAGATGTAGATCAGCAGATGTGAGGGTGTGAAGATGTAGATCAGCAGATGTGAGGGTGTGAAGATGTCAATGTAGATCAGCAGATGTGAGGGTGTGAAGATGTAGATCAGCAGATGTGAAGGTGTGAAGATGTAGATCAGCAGATGCGAGGGTGCGAAGATGTATTACAACGGCTGCTTTTTTACGAAGAACCCTTCGCAGGCGCTCTCGGGAAAAACCAGTAAAACTGCAAGGCAAATGAATCCAAAAATTATCAACCATGAAAATCCATCGCGCTGTTGCATCGCATGATTGAGCCCTGAAAAACACTGTTCTCCCACGCCAGAAAATTCATTATCCAGAATGGTCACTGCGCCAACACCTCGTGATGAAGTGCCTGACTCAAGGCCCGCCACCAACAGAATGCGTGCAATGGACTTTGCAAGTTTCACCAGCTGTTTTCCTCCAGAATGTCTGTTGTATTGAGCTCCTGCCCAACCAGCCTCATGGCTAACTGCCCCTGGCTGGGGATGAGTCTGTGAAAAGAAAGTGATCAATCACAGCACCAGTAAAAATTGCAAACACCTTCAAAGAAAAATTCCATCGCGCGGGGTGGACACTAAAGCATGTAGTTCTGCATCACAACTGCTGAGGCTAACCACATGTTGGCTCCTTGACCTTCCAAACAGATATGCACCATTCAACATGTGTATGCCGCGGCTTGTTGAACGTCTGTGGGTTTGATTGCTGCTCCAGTCTGAGTCAGAAAAGATTCAAGCACCCAAAAACTTGTCACTGTTCTTTCATTTTCCTTGTCCAGGTTGTGGAGCAAGAAGAAGGACGCAAATGTCTGATGTCAACTTGAGGTACACCGCAAGTGTTCGAAGTCGTTGTAGAGATGCCAACGTTGGTTTACCCATGGCACCACTCAACTCCTTTACCACGAAAAGCAAATCTGGCCTGTCTCTGGCCAAGCAGAGGCATGTTCCTATGACAGTTCTGTATGCATAGGCTTCGTGGGTTCCAAGGGGTTCTGACACATCTTCTACCTGGATTGTCTGATCACAAAAGATGGTCTGAGCTCTTGCTTTTGCCAAAGTGGCTTTCGAAAAGCTCGGTGACCTTGGTCGCACTTGTCCCAGGAATAAGCGCCAATCACCAATCCATTTTTCAAGCACTTGATGGTCCTATTGAGGAAAGAGATCTCGGTGCCAACATCGCCCAACTGAGAATGGCTGATTTTGAAAATCTCTGCAAACTTTTTGAGAAACACACTGTTCCAGTAATCAGCATCACCGCATAACAAAATGTCATCCACGTGCAGCATGATTCCATGATCGCGCAATCATCATTCTTTGCAATGCAAGGTCAATGCAAAATCTGAAATTCTAAACTCCTTTTGAAACACCAAAGCCTCGGACGATTCACGCATTCACATGCTCATGCGTTTTGCATGAAACTGTGTTTTCTGTTTTGTTTGCACCACGTTTTGTGGAGTTGTTTTCAACTATGCAAACAGGTAAAACTGAGGTGGGGCGGACTGGCAACATCTAGTTACCCCGCCCTTGGGTTCTGAGGTCCGTTGACTCAGATTCCAAGCTGCTAGATGGCTACTTTACGTAGAAAAACCAAAAAGCAACAAAACGCCACAAACTCATCCACATTTGTGGAATTCCAACTGAAAAACAGCTTGTCACATTGTGAGACATGCTATCTCAGCTGCGCTGTGAGATCAGGTTAGCTCACAGCTGCCATCCATTGCAAAGAAAATGCAAATGCCCCCTGTGAGATCTCGTTGACTCACAGCGGGTCCAACCTTTTTCTCAGTCTTCGTTTTCCATCTCATCGTCATTTCCATGATGGATCTCCATCCATAAGTCTGGATCAGATGCCTCTTCCAAGGAGATGTGTAAGTACCTCCTCAGACGTACTGGAAGACCTTCTGATCCTGAGCTACTTTGATCCATCTGTTCGTTGTTGGCTTCTTCATTGTTTGTTCCTCCATCTGCATTTTCACTGTGTCTTGCTTCTGCTCGTCTCATCTGTCGCACCAAGTCCAGTCCAACTTGAAATGCTTGGTAAGCCTGCTGGATCTCGACCTGCTTCTCATCCATCGACAAATGAGCTCTCGGAGATTGATCATCATCAGAGAGATCTGTCATTGCTACCACATTGTCCATCATATTCTGCGATTCCGATGCAGTCATACCTGCAAGATCACAGCAAACCTTGACCATTTGCTGCAAAGTCTCCATTCGAAACCCATTGAGGACACGCTTGTTTCCACGGCGTACTCTTCCTTCACACCTATGGTACATCCAAACCAGCATGCCTTCCACTTTGAACATAGGGTCTGCGAAGACATTTGCAAAGACATGTCCCAGTGAACGGTTGTTCATTGGGTACGGTGATGTCAATGGCTCCATTGCAGGTTCTCGTTCGCCATCTTCAGGTTCAGGTTCTCCTTCACCAGGCACCATCAAAACAACAAGCACTCCAAGCAGAATGAACATCGCGACAAACAACGCAAGTGTTATTGGGCTCAGCCATAGCCCATGACCCAAGGCTTCTGCGGTGTCCATTCCAAAGGAGCTTATCTTATTCACCATTCCACTGTCGGACTGTCCCTCAGCTAGAGACATCAAGCTGCATGATGCCAGCACACGCAAGATCTGCTTGGCAAACTTGTGGAGCTTTGTGGTCTGTGTTGTTTGACCACTTTCAACCACAAATTCACTCACAATTCTCACCTGCTGCTTCAAGAGTTCCTTTGTCTGCATCCTTGCATATTCTGTTTCTCCAACTCTTTCACCACCAGCTGAAAAGTTGAACATGTAAAGCAAGCAAAAGTATCGATCTCTGCTCAGCGGTTTCGTGTTGAGGTCTGCAATATTCAACGCTGTCTTCACCTGTTTTATCTGCAAGTCACCAGAAGCTACCTTATCCTGCAGCCACAGCAAACGACCTTTGATGTGTCGCAGGCGTCCCGCTCCCAGCTTGACAGATAACACCCGCACAGCACTGTTGTCTGTATGCAAAACCAAAGGACTGATGTCCCCATCACAGAGAAAAGAGAGTATGTGGTGGAGGTAGAGGCCATCACATGTTCCTGAGCTTGCCGCATACCATTCAGACTCCGTACTGGAAAGGGAGACGCATTTTTGTGTCCGGCTGCTGCTGTGGACAATTTGTCCATTCAACACATGCACTGCTGACGATGTGGAACGTTGGTTGCCTGACCCTGACCAGTCGGCGTCAGAGAAGGTTTCAAGGCAATTAGGCCTCTGCTCATCATTGCTGCACGCACCATTCAGAGTTTCTAGAAAACTGCTTCCTTTCACCACTTTGTTCATCTCAAGCGCATAGTTTTCACTTTGTTTCAAGTACCCTATCAGTTTTCCAAGCTCACGCCATGAAGACATAGTTGGCTGTTTCAAACTCGACGCAAGAGTTTTGACACTGAATTGCACATCAAAACGCTGTTGACTGATGTACATCGCCACGCCCGCAAGAGAGCGAAATTCAGCTGCCATGCCTTCTGACAGAAGTTCAGCCGTCTCATTGTTACTTCCGCTTGGCGTGACACTGCAGGGTGTCTTTGACATCTTTGCTGCTTTTCCATTCACTTTCTCAAACCTTTCCCACAACGTATGCACATGTTTTGACTCTGAGAAAACAGTCAGCTTTTCATAGTTGGCTTCAACAACATGTAGCCTCTTGAGAAATTCGAAACTCCCACCTGTTGTACGGTCCACCACTGTGCTGGTCAACCTGAATTCCTTCTCAAGTCCAGGCAAAAACACATTGTTGATCCAAGACTGCTCTCCTAAAAAGAGTATGTCATCCACATGCATGACCATTGCAACTTTGCGTTCAACCTTCAACACGCATGGTTGTTCCTTGCATACTGTGGCACCAAACAGCTTCTGCAACTTCTCCTCAAAGAACTGGTACCACAGTTTTGAAGCATCACGTTGACCTGGCAAACAACGCAAAATCACGTAATCGTCTGATCCCAAACATACAACTCTCGGAACAAGCTGTGGCACTTGAAGAAAAGCATCACCAATGTCTAAAGTTCCAAGTACACTGGTTTCACAGAAGCTTTCTGACATGCAAAGCGCTGGAAGCAACTTGACAATGGCTGCACTTGAAGATGGACTGTAAACGTCATCCCTAACATCCAACCAGTTGTATTCACGAGCCACAAGCCGTGAACGCCTGAGCCATCCTTGCTGGCTGGACGGCTGGACACGACATGCCCATCTACATCATGTTGCAACCGGGTTTTCTTTCTCCATGTTCTGACAAACTTTGCGCTAAGCTGAGTGCCAAGCTTCCCTGTATAGTCCCCATGTTTGCAAAGCACTGACATGCCAAACAGTCTTTGAATTTCCACCATGTCTGCAAAATCATCAATGACTTGCAACCTTCTGATGAAAGTTCAGGCTCGAACTGTGAAAAGGGCTGCCACAGATCATCCTCGGTCAGCTCACGCGTTGAGGTTTCCTCCAAGTCAAACATTTCATCACTCGCATCAAGTTCACATGAAAAGTCAACTGCACTGTCACCAAGTTCTTCCATGCATTCACCAGTTTCAACATCCATGTGAAAAAGAGTTTCATCTCCAACACGCAACGCTGAAAATTTCTGTCGCTTTGCGCTCGGCTCTGCTGGTTCTTCCACATCCATATCACTGGGCATAGCTGCAGGCGCTAGCATGCCAAGTGGTGTCACTGGTCCAAGTAGTCCAAGACTTGGGGCAGGAAGCCCCGCCTGCTCAGTACCCTCTGGTGTTGGGGTTTCATTTGAAGTCTCGTTGGAACCACCTGCTGCTGTAACTGGTCGTGCTCCATCTGGGTCACTCACAACGGCTGTTGGTGGAGGAGGCCGCATTCCAACTGCGGGCTGCACTGGAATCAAATCTGGAATTGGGGTTGCTGGCACCGGCTCATCTGCATCATCTGGTGGGTCTTCACCCATTTCATCATCAATAGCATGAATTGCAACACCACCTGAAGAGCTACTGCGCAGTGTGGGCACAATTCGATTTCCCAGAGTTCCTTCCAACTGCCAAGGAAAAACTGTCACCTGCCGGTACTCCTCCATGTGCTCTTGCCACGCTGGAAAGAGCGCCTTTATCGACCTTGTAAGTTTCACTGTTCCTGCAAATGATGTCAGGTACATGTCATTGGTTAAAACTTTTCCCAAAAAGATTCCTTTCCTCCACTTTGCATCTGTCTTCTGTTGAACACTGTCTCCAACGTACACCATCACAGGACAACCAAATTCACAGAGTTTTGAGTTGTAGTTGTGACCTGAAATCAACTCATACGGTGTCACTCCTGCTGTGACTCCAAACCGAGTCAAAATCCACGCGCTGTGCACAAATGCCCATGCAAAAATTGGGTGTTGTGGACGCACTTCAAAACCAATTTTCTGTGTCAGTTGATGCAGAAAAGTTGAAGCCTGAAGACGCACTCTATCAATTGCCTTCTCAACTGCAGAGTTTCCACCATGATCAAGCACTTTTGAGTTCTCAACCACTGTGCGCAAGTTCAACTGTTGTCTTGCACGTTGAACATACCTTTGAACCTGCAAAGTGGTAGGTTCCTGATCACAGCGTAGAGTAACATCTCCATATCCCAGAAAGTTGATGAATCTCAAAATTTCTGCACCCATGAACTTCGTCTGCTTCTTGCTCTGAATTGGAATGCATTGCACAGCACCACTGTGTGAGTCATGGACAACAAGCGCTGTAAGTTTTGCTTGACCATCTGTTTCTTCCACAGCTTCACAAGTCTTTCCACTGAAACACAAATCCCATCAAATAACTGGCATCTCACGGCGTTGAAGCAAACTAGGATCACTGCGGTGTTGTTCAGGCCTACCCTTACTCATCACGAAAGCAGGGCACCATGGTTGGTATGGCATGTGTGTCAGGTTGTGAGTTGCAATCACTGCAGCCTCGTCTGGAGGTTCTGCAGTTTGAACACTTGTTGCTTTTCTCTGACTCTCATCCAGGGCCACGGCAGCCAATTCTCGTTCAGCTTCAATTGCACGTTTGTCAAGGGCTGCTAAGATCCTTGACCACAACCTTGATTTGCTGCCTGACTGGCTCACCTGTAAATAAGAGCATGCTGCCTTCAAGACACTGATTGCAGAAGTGCATGAAACGTCAACTCCAGCTATTTTCACATGGTCAGGTCTCGGTTGTCCTGCAATGGACTGTGGCAATTCGACTGAAACTTCAACCTCTTGTAGATCTGACTGAATCTCCTGTGCACCACTCGAAGCGCCCATTGCAATGTCACCTGCACCATTTGCAGCTGAAGCTGAACCTGAAGCGCCACCACTTGTGACAGGTTCTGCAACTGCCATTCCAAAATCAGAAATGCAAAGCTCTGTCTTTGAAAGGAGAGTCAAAAGTCGTTGATAACCACCTTCCACAATAGGAGCTGCTTTCTCTGCCATTGGAAATATACGTTCACACAACTCAATGACTTCCCAACCTCTGATGTCGTGGTATGCAACTGTTGTTCGAAAAGGCCAATCAACCACAAGATAGTCTGTTGTCACATCGATGAAGTGCGCTGCATTTGAACTGCAAATGGGAAAATCATTGACAGTATACCATCCTGTTCTTAACTCATGCCATGACCGTGGGACATCAACTGATACTGCTCTCACTGACTGCACCATTCGAATGTCACCTGAGACAACAAGTGAATTGTTCCTGAAACTGAGTTCCACGCAAGATCCACTGGAATGTGCCAGAATTGGAGAACTGTCAGTTCCAGATGATTTGATACCCCAACCTGCTCTGATCAACTTCCCAAATGAAAGTAAGGAACGTCCACCTTGTCACTGAAAAATGCCTTCTCTCTCACACGCAAGGACTGTCCATCTGTTGTCTGAAAGATGAATGTGACATCACGCACATCAGATGTCAAAATCTGTTTACCCTGCGCATCTCTGAGAAAAGTTCCAGGCGTCAGTGTGGCTGGACTTCCAATGCCTGCCATTGCAATTGGGAGAAGCGTCACATCAGATCCTGAATCCAGCACAATGTCAGAGTGTGATGAAGCTGCAACTGCACGCACATGCAAATCACTTGAACTGTTGTATCGGTTCACATTCACATCACTTGCAAACGGTTTGACATGAAAACCATCAAAACTGCTGCACTTGGACGACCTTGCAATCCTCCTGAACTCACCAGGCACAAACTCTGAAAACTTGTTGACATGTTTGCATGACAGTTGCATGGAATCACAGTGCAAAACGTCGTACATCTGAAATCCATACCTCTCTGCAACGCCACTTGCAAAGTGCTCGAAGTCGTCAAGTTTGAAGAGTGAATGCAATCTGTAAACATCATTGCAAACGTTTTCAACACTTCCACAATGCAAAAACTCGTTCAATCCTTTCTCACCTGCGTCAGAGGGTTGACAAGCACTGCAACTGTCCATTGAAACCTGTTCGAAATGTCAAAGTCCAACTGTCGAAAAACTGTGCATGGCTGAGGCTCCAAAAAAAACGCGGTTGACACTGCCAGAATTGTTGTTGACATGGTTCACATGGGTTGTTGTTTTATCTGCTTTGGTTTCAGTTTGATTTGAAAAAT